CATCGCAGCAGCTCTCAGCTCCAGTGACTTGAGTGCCACACTCAACTGAGGATCTCTGGAGAAAAGCCCTTCTTGCCTCATGCCTTGGCACAGCTTGGTACAGGGAGTCTCTGATGGCCAGCTCCCGCACCAGAAACGGAGCTCACTGGTGAGATTTCTCATGAGGAGCATGCACAAGTCCAAAAGCTGGTGATTAAACCTGCTTATTTCTTTCTCAAGCACTGATGTTTAGTGTGGACCTTTAGGCATAACTAGAAAAGCCAGACCCAAACTGCTTCAGGCTGGATGCTGCATGAGCTAGAGTAATAAAACTGCTCCAGAGATAAAGAATGAGTAGACATGTGATGGAGTTTGCTGGGGGCATGTGGTGATGTGATTAATTTCACTTTATAACTTGGGCTTTATTAGGTGAGACTTGTAGCCTAGTGTGGGCCAAAAAGATGCCACAGAAATGGAAGGAGAGGGAAGAACGAAATCACTCTCATCCAGCTGGAGCTCACCTGGGCTGGCTGGACTCACCACAAAACACAAGCTTGAAGCCAGGAGTCAGAACCACCCGAGATGAGAAATGAAGTATATCAAGCTGCGTTAATACAAACAGAAGATGGGCTTTGGCACCAAACCCACTGGCCTGATGAAGTCTTCATGGGCTGGCACAAAGAGATCATCATATCTGAATGCTGGAGACCTGGGCAGCTTCGGTACAATCAATTATAAAGGGCATAATTCAGTGTTTTGGCTTTTTTCTTTCTGAGAAAAGACTCTCACTCATAAGTAATTTATTTCTTTCACAGGATAGCTGTGTTGCACTAATGTGATTTGTTATGTGCAATAATTATTATTTTCAATAAAACTTTGTTTAAAACGCACTCCTCTCATAGAATCATAGAATTGTTTAGGTTGGAAAAGACCTTTAACGTCATTGAGTCCAACCATTAACCTAGCACTACCAACTCCACCACTCAACCATGTCCCTAAGCACCTCATCTCCCCGTTTCCTAAATCCCTCCAGGGATGGTGACTCCACCACTTCCCTGGGCAGCCCGTTCAGTGCTTGACAACCCTTTTGGTGAAAAAATCTTTCCTAATATCCAGTCTAAACCTCCCTCGGCACAACTTGAGGCAAATTTTTCTCATCCTAGCACCTTTTCCTTTGGGGAAGAGACTTTCCTCCTCCCCCCCCCCCTCCACTACCTTCTCCTTTCAGGGAGTTGTAGAGGGTGATAAGGTCTCTCCTCAGCCTCCTTTTCTCCAGGTTGATCCCCTACGGTTCCCTCAGCTGCTCCTAAGAATTCTTGTGCTCCAGACCCCTTCCCAGCTTTCTTGCCCTTCTCTGGACACACTCCAGCCCCTCAATGTCCTTCTTGGAGTGAGGGGCCCAAAACTGAACGCAGGATTTGAGAGGTGGCCTTACCAGTGCCCAAGACAGAGGAAGGATCACTGCCCTGGTCCTGCTGGGCACACTATTTCTGATACAGGCCAGGATGTTGTTGGCCTTCTTGACCACCTGGGCACACTGCTGGCTCATGTTCAGTCGGTTGTCAACCAGCACCCTCAGGTCCTTCTCCTGCAGGTTGCTCTCCAGCCACTCATCCCCAAGCCTCCAACGCTGCATGGGGTTGTTGTGACCCAAGTGCAGGATCTGGCACTTGGCCTTGTTGAACCTCATATGAATGGCCTCAGTCCACTGATCCAACCTGTCCATATCCCTCTGTAGAACCTTTCTATCCTCAAAATAGATAGGGTGCAACCTACTGTCATCTGCCTTTAAAACAGGCCCTTTTGGGGGGCTGGTTTCTAAACAAGGGACTGTGGGGCATATCTGCAGATGACTTCTTGCAACCCCCCAGCTCCCTGGGGGAAGCTGCCCTGGCATAGGTGCCTCCAAGGAAGTAAAAGGCTCCCTGGCATATGTCAAGGTGAGCCATTGAGAAACCCTTGTTGTGAGGAGCAGGATGCTGTAGGGATGTAGGAGAGCCTCAAAAGGACTTTAACTAGCTGAGCCACAGGACAAAAGCCGTAAGATTAAACCAACAAAACTCCCTCAGGAAAAGAAGGATCTTTTATTGAGTCTTTATTGTGTCCAGACATGTCAGGCACAGAGGCATCATGGGGAGACGCTACAACCAACCACAAGTTATTTGGGCTGGTGTGGGACAGATCCCATGCCCTGAAACCACAGGAGGATGAGGAGTTTCCCATCCTTACTGCCACCACACCTGCCACTCTCCAGCCTTGTCTCCTGCTTTTAGGCATGATTGCCCCCAATGGCATCTTCATCAGAAGAAAAACTTTGGCCTGTCACATCAGAGAGACAGAGACATGAACCCAAACACACAAAATATAATAAAATTTAGATGTCTTTGAAGCACAGAGACACCAGATCTCTGTGTGTCTTGTGTACTTCCTAGCAAACATGCGACAGCAGGGATTTCTGCACCAGGGCCTCCATGGGGCTAGTTGAGCAGAGGCAATGCTGGATAAGTCTTTGAGCAACCTGATCTAGTGGAAGGTGACCCTGCCTATGACAGAGCAGTGGGACTGAAGGAGCTTTAAGGTCCCTTCTGGGCCAGATCATTCTGTGATTCTATGATGACACGATGGGGTATAGAGACACAGCCACGTGTTGTGTCTCATGCAGAGCCAGGGACTGGCAGTGTCATGTGGACTGGCCACCTGCAAGGAGATTTGCAGGTGGAGAACTTCTTCCCTTGGCACCACAGGGAGGTGCACACATAAGGGCCATTGCTCAGGGATGATTATTTTGCCTCACTACCTGTTGTCATAGCAGCTTCCTCAAATGCACTATAAACTGTGGCTGTATGGCCCCTGGGTTGTACTGCTGCAGGTCCTACCTCCTCCATCAACCACAGCTCCTGGCTCAGTTCCCTGGCTGGACATAGCCATTGTTGGACAGCAAGACATAAAATAATTGCTGTTAAATCCCTGGCTCTCGGCCCAGGCTGCTTCTGGTCCCACGCTGTCCAGGGAATCTGGCATCAAACCAGAAAGTCAGTGCCAGCAATGGAGCAAACACCATATAAGCATCTCAGAAAGTAAAGCCTGAGGTTCTGGTTGGACTGTGGTCCCCATGCCTGGAGGCACTCATTGCACCAGGACATGCAGCCACCATGCTATCTAGCAGGCAGCAGAGCTGCACCCTCCGCTGCCCCACAGGCTGGGCTGCATGGGGGAACACACCAGGGAAAGGCAGAGGCTTATGATGGGTGAATTTCAATTCAATAAACAAAAGTGGTTTGTTGTACCTTGGACCTCATCCATCTGTAGGCTGAAGTATCTCCTGGTAGATGTCATTGGGAACATCCTGGATGAAGTCTTCCAATCCCAAGGAGTTCAACTCTACCCTGTTTTTAAATGTCTGTTGGGTCCTCTAGGTCCTCATTGAAGGCTCTTCCATCTAGAGTGGGATGGGGCAGGACGTAATGTCTGAGCACCCTCTCCCCAGGGGGCCTGACCCAATGGTGGTCCCTCTGCAAACCCCTCTGCTGGGCTGGAGATTGCTCCCATCACATCTTCCACATGCCCAGGGTCACCCCAGAAGCTAAAGTCCTCCCATATTCCCCCTGCTCATTTGCAAGAGGATGCTTCTGCGCCCTATTTACTGCATGTTGACTTGCCTATTGCCTGGTGCTGAGTAGCTGTAGTCAGATATCCCGTATGAGACCACAAAAGGGCTCTGCCTTTGCCTTCTTCTCTTCCCTATGGCTGCCATGTCACAGCAACAAAGCATCCTCAGCCTGCAAGCCCTCAGAAGGATGACTCTGTCAACAGACAAGAGGAAAATCCAGGTCCAACTTTTTTATTGAGATAAACAGGAAAATAAGTAAAGCACAAAAGAGAAAAAAATGTTGCAAAACCTGCACAGAGTTTAAGGGGTGCAAACCTGAAATGTGCTCCATCCCCTCCCTCCCTGCGTGGGCAAGGTACCTGCTAGCTGTCAGCAGCTAGGAGTGGGTGGCTGCATCCACCTTGGGTGTGCAGGATTTCCACATTGCGTACCCTATGACACGCATATTTCCACAGCTGAGCAGGAGGAAACCAAGCCTCTCAGACCAGGTGTGATGCTCACCTCTTGCTAATTGATTACAGCTGCTCTCCAGGGCATGGCAGCACCTTCATTCCTATCTCCTTCTCTCCTTCCCTCCCACTGAAACAATTTGTCTTCCTTTCAGAGGGCTGCGAGAGCACCACTAACTCACAGGCTGCTCACAGGCTGGTGGCAGTGGTTCAAGATGTTTATAAGCCCTGTAAGAAGCAGGAACCAACCAACCAACCAACTCCCTGACTGTGTCAGTTTTCAGCCTGATGTGCAGCCCAACACATGTCAGATTTACATCAAACTTGAGCTGTGGGGTGTCAGGATGGTTCTGAAATCCAGGACACTTCCAAGGTCTGATACCCACCATGCTACTAAATCATAAGCCTCCTTGCCACCCTGCTCTTCATCCCAGACTAAGAGGAGGTGCTGGATACAGGGCATCCTGGTAAGCACAGCTCCACTCGCTCTTCCTGACTGCTGACGGGAAGAGCATCACTGGGCACAGGGGACTTCTCAGGGGCCTTCAGGATGAGGGAGCTGTTGTGGTTTCATATCTATGCATCTGCAGTTACTTGGTTTCTCTCCAGGTTGTTCTGGTTTAGCCTCTGTATCTTAGGGAGGACTCTTGGGCTTTGTCGGGGATGGACTAAGGGGAAAGGCCCAGTGCCTGTAAATGGACAGCCAGGGATGGGGCATGGATTCTCCTCAACCCAAAAGCTCTTGCACCTGCAAGTGAGTAAAACAACAGGGAGGGAAAAAAAGAAAAAAAGAAAGAAAGAAGAGGGCAAACTGTTGTATTTGAGACACCTTTCCAGACTTGGATATTCTCACCACCCAGCTTTTGTTGTGTCTCTTCCCACCAGGGCTCCTGCTGGCATTGAACTGGAGTGTGAATTCAGGAGGGGTGTCCTTGGGCTTTGCCCTGCCTCCCTGCAGTGCCTTACAGCCGCGTGGCTGTCACCTCGCAAAGCTCACCCAGGGGGACCATCAGCATGTCCTGCGCAGAGGAGCTGGGCTCGGCTGGCAGGTAGGACTTGTCCCACCCCTCCGCATCTTCTCCCTTTCCCTCATCCAGGTTAAAGATAAGCTTCAGCTTCTCTGGCTGCACTGAGTTCAGGATGATGACACCCAATCCCAGCAGCAGGCACAGCAGCCCTGCAATGCACAGCATGGGGAGACACGTTAGCATGTGTTAGCTCACTGTGTCCCAGCCCCATCCAGATCTGGATCTCAGGTCAAAGGCTGATGATGACCCAGGAGGTCAAGGGAAGGTGTTATCTCCCTCTCCACATCTGGACTCTGGCATCAGTTTGGGCTCCCCAGTACAAAAGAGCTGGTGCAGATGGCCAAGAGAGCTGGGGCTGGAGCCCACCATGTATGGGGAAAGGCTTCTCTATTCTGAAAACGAGGACTCTACAGGGGGACCTCGTTGCCATCTTCTGCTGCTGAAAAAGAGCCAGTCTCTTCTCAGAAGTGCAAAACTGTCACATGGGAAATTCTGGTTTGATAAAAGGAAATAATTGCTGCCTGTGAGTGGGACAGCTGTGAGGCAGGTCCTGAAAAGCAGAGGGGATCTCTAGTCATGGTGACATCCACCACCAGACTGAAGAAGGCTGATGTGGCTTTGAGATTAGCTCTGCTCTGGGCAAGGACTGGGAGAGACACCCCTGAAGGTCCTTCTAGGCCAGGTCTTTCCCTGTCTCTGTGGTTCATGGCACTCCTCTGGGCACACCTTCATGCAGATAACTTCAGCCATTCAGATCTCCTGGCTGCTTAGCTCCCCACCCCCCCCCCCCCCCCAGTCTTGATGATGCCATCCTAAGTTCTTGTATGTCATTAAAAAAAAAAAAAATCTGTGACCAGCAATGGAGACAGAAGGGATGAGGCACTGTTGGGGCATCACTGAGCACCACTACTTCAGGGATGGAAAACAAAAGCCCCAGGAGCAAGCTGAGCACTCACCTGTTGCTAACGTCAACCAAAAGGATCCACCGTAGTCTGTTTTCAGGGCAGCTGAGCCAAATTGGATGGGACACTTTGGCGTGTTCCTCGCAGTGAAGAAGAAGAGCAGTGAGAAGAGCATCAGCGCAGCAGTGAGCAGGAGCATGTAGCCACCATAGAGCAGGATGGGCATGGAGAACAGCAGGACGGAAATGAGCCACATGCAAAAGGCCATCCTGTGAAAGGACCATGAAAATGAGCAGAAGGCGCCAGGCTTGGAGTCTGTTCTTAAGGTTTCCTCTCCACATCCCAGTGGAGGGATGCAGGCTTGGGCAACCTCCTCTAGCTGGGCTTGTTTGAGCATTGGGGCTGGACAAGCTGACCTAAGGAGGTCCCTTCCAACCTAAACGATTCTGTAACTGCATGGATCATGGAGCTGTGGGACAGGTCCCACAGTGGTAGAGAGGGATCTCTATGGCTGGATGCATTCAGTGTTGACCTTCATGAAGCCCCTAGCACCTTGATATGGCTTTAATGTCAGCCCTGCTCTGAGCAGGAGAACTGGAATAGAAGCCTCTGTAGGTCCCTCCAATTTAACTCTCTCTAACTCTTGTGGTTCTATGCAACTGGCTGCTACCAGGTAGTTCCCATCCTGTTCAAAAGGAGAATGGCAACAAGGAAAACTTTTGTTTGGAGAATGACGCGAGCCGTGCCCACATTTGATTCAGCACCTGGAACGAACCCAGCTCCCATCCCTGCTCTGTGCATGGGATTTGGCTTTAGCTTACTGGGGAGGTGAACCTAACAAATTGTTCTGATTCAGAGAATAATAACAAAAACTATGTTTACATCAGTATGACTGCCTTGAAATACCTCTTCTTAAGAGCAGGAAGGTTTGGGCAGGGCTAGTTATTTTTCCTGAAAACAAAAAAGATGTGGAGAGTGACCTGGAGCCTACATTCACTGGGGGGATTGCAAGAGCCACTCTTCCCTCCAGTGCCTTTCCTGTGACCTCTGAGACAAGTGGGGATGCTACGAGACTCCACAATCACAACACACAAAAGGGCTCTCAGCTTTACACCACAAGTCAGCCTCTGAGCACTGTTCTTGATGGTCCCTCCCGCTCTCCACCAGCAGGTCTCATGCCCTCTTGGGCATGCAAAAGGAATCCTCCATGGCTGGTCTTACTGAAGGTCTGCATCTTGCTTGAGAGAGGACTTGGCACTGCAAGCGCCACAGAGTTGCATCTGCTTTCTTTTAAATGAAGAATCATTTTCTTCCAACTGTAATTTTGCACATTAGGGCAGCGGTCACAGAAGAGGACTCTGGGAAGGTGGGTTGGGCAGGAAGCATGAGCATCTTTTCACTTCCCCACTGAGCAGAGATAAGGCTGACCTCTTGCTCTAACTTACCACAGTGTGAGGGATGCGTAGCGGCCAGAGATGCGGTACTGCCTGTGCATGCCGCAGGGGCTTTGCGTGGTGAACTTCTCCGCCACGTAGAGGATGGGGCTGGGCAGCCCCCTCTCCAGCCCTTCACCGTAGCTGTGGTCATAGTCTGCATCGAAGCTCCAGGCAAAGTGCTCGTTGTAGTTGATGGTCTCGTTGACCTGGTTCACTGGGTTGCCTGCCAGATGATGAAGACTAAGGACCTTTGTCAGCCTTGGAGGCAGCTCCAAGACTTCCTGGTGTGGGGGCCTGAGAGCCCACAAGCCACAGTTCCCAGGTATATGGCTGCCAAATTTGTACTCAATCCCCTCCTGTTGTGATAGGCACTCACCCGCCAGTGTGACGTTCACCCCCATCAGCCCAATGTGCAGCCCAATGTCCGCATTCACCAGGGCACGGCTGAAGGACTTGTAGGAGGTGTTTGCTGTCACCCAGCCAGTCTCCCAGTCCCTGGTGAACTGTATGGCTGTGAAGACTTCAAAGGTTAGTCATGGCCTGGTGGCAAGACATCTAGTGCTGGAAACACCTGCCATGATGGTCACCGTGGCCTGAGCATCATCTACCCCCTCCCAAGTGCAAGGTGTGGTTTGTGAGCCTCAAGAAACAGAAGCCTTGTTTGTCCTTCCCCGACTTCAACCCTGACCCATGACACTGAAAGCCCCACTTGGGTTGGTTTCTCCTCAGACCTAGTGCAGTCCCTAGCCCTACAGGCAGTGAGGCTGATGTGTGGGCATTGTCCAGGCACTGATTCTTGTCTAAGCACCTGCCAACTTGTCTGGGTCTCCTGACTGTTGGTGGTGGGCTTTCAGTCACTGCCCTGGAGGTGGTCTGTGCATGTGCCTGCCAGCCTTCAGAGAGGAGACAGATGGGTTCTTGCATCTCCCACGGCTTGTTGGAGCCAGGTCCCAGACACAGACAGGGGTCGGTCTTCCTCATAAACTCATTCTGCAGTCTGGACTCGCCACTTGGCTGCTCTTGTCTTGCTTCTCCGTCCCCCATGTCTTGGGCATCCCTGAGTATTCCTCCCCGGACCATGGTACTCACTGAGGACCACCGCTCCCACGAAGAGTCCCGTCACCACCCGCAGGAACCAGAAGAGTCGCTGCAAGGAGTAAGCATTTGGGGGGACCAGATCTCAATCAGATTTTGCCATGGGGACCTCAGCATCAAACATGTAAGTTAGAAATGTCAGCCAGTGAGAAACAGGCCTGTACCTCCCCTGGAGAGTCACCCCATGGGCTTTGCAGCCAGGTGGCATGGAGGGGCACACATGGCTGGGGCATCTCTGCTGTGGGGTGGGGGGAGGCAGCAGGGACATCTGGGCAAAGCAAGAAGGTCAAAATAGCTCATTCAGGAAAGCCGTGCTGTCTCCTTTCTCCCCTTGAATAACTCTGAGCTGGGACTTCCACACTTATCCAAACCTCACATGTTTGGATGTGTTGGCAGCTGGCCACAGCTGGAGACAGAAGCAGCAGACAGGAGTTCCCCCCCCCCCCCGGAACACCTCTCGCCCCCCCCCCCCCCCGAGACATCTCTCAGCCAGCCCCACTGCAAAACGAAGCATGCAACAAGTACTCAGAGCGCGAGCAGTGGGCTTGCAGTGGGGCTGGTTGGCCACTGCCACCTAGCAGTGTTGGGACATGCATGGTGCACACCTCCTTCTTTATTGGTGTTTCAGGAAAGGTGGAGTGAGATCTTTGATCCTCGCCCTATTTTTCCACTCCTGCGAAATCACTTGTGCTTGCTCACAGCAAAATCCAGCCAAGCTCAGCTCTGGGCACCTTGTAAATTTGGGATGGTGGAGTTTACTGTGTTTTGGGCATGGGGCTACATGCTGGGTTGGGCTGGACCTCACCCCCATGGCTCACCAGAGATGCTAAATCCCTGGCCATCAACCTGTGGGCATGTTTGCTCTCCAGGTTTATTTTTGAGGCTGGGAAGGAGAAGGCATGAGGGATGCACAGGGCAGGGACCAGAAAGCTGAGCTCCCCCAGCGCCTCCACTTACCCCCCTGCCCCGGATCCCCGGCAGGATGATGATGAAAGTGGCCAACATGGAGAGGAAGATGGAGACAATGACAGTCTGGGTGGTGTTGAATGGGAAGCATGCCTTGGTGCCGGGGTAGAAGGGGAAGGAGCCGTTCCACAGTGTCATCCTGCTGCCTGGGGTGGCACTAGAGACACATCAGGGAGAAAAATCACTTCCACACTTCCACTCCACCCAGCCTTCTCCTGCCCATTTACCAGCATGCTGCTTGTCCCAGGCACAGCTGTGTGTGCATCCCCAGTGCCCATGCACACTGCAGTGCTGCATCTGAGCAAATACTGAGGCATCAACTCCCACGGAAGCCCTCCATCTCCCCAGGGCACATCCCAGAGCAAAGCAGGTTTGGAGACCCTAGGGCATCCACTGCAATGCGTAGGTTGTCCCCAGGATGCGACAGCAATATGTGCATGCATTGCGAGGCCTCTCACTCCTCTCCTCTGCATGTTCTCAACCCCTGGTCTCTTGCCTGTGCTCCCATCTTCCCTGGTTCAGCTCTTCATCAAACAGCTCAGCTTCTGCTTGCGGGTGTTTTGCTTGGGGTGCTTGGTGAATCACTGCACAAACACAAGCTGTGCACCACTGGGCTGCTCCTCGCTGAGTCCTGGGTGGAGGAAACCCCTCACCACCCAAGGAAACAGGAGTGACCCAGAGGGTACAGAGAAACTACCTGTCCCTGGCAGCAGGGTCCAAATCACCATCTGCCAACCCTCTGTCCCAGGAACTGGCTGGAAGCAATGTCGTGCAGGCAGAGGAGTGCCGCTCAGGAAGCTGGCTGTGGTTTTTGTCAGGGCACTTGGCCGAGACACTTCCCTGCTAGGAAAGGGCTGCTCAGCATCCCCCGGGAGTGGGGACTGTCCCAATAGCAGCTGCAGAAACACCCGTGCCCCCGTTGCCGCGCTGAGCCTACCTCTGCTGTGGCCGATCCCGAGGGCTGGCTGCGGTGCAGCGCTGCGGTGTGCTCTGGGACGCTGCCTCCCTGCCCACGCTGCCTCCCTGGCTGCGGGCGAGAAGCCAGCCCGGCGTGTCAAGGTTGTATTTCTCCCAGGATTTTTTGCGGTGCCCGCCTCCAGAGGCGACTGGATGGGGCAGCTTTACCCACGGCCAATCGTCCCCTTGCCGCGTTCCTGATGAGCCCCAGGGCAG